AATGTGTACGTCTGTGTGTATCAGAGCTGGATATTTTTTAAAATTAGGTAATTTATTTTATTAATACCTTGGTAAATTAACATGTGGTTAAAGAGTTGTAGTTCAATGTAAATATTAAAATAGATGTTATCTACCTGTGAAGTACTATACTAAAAAAATTAAACAGAGCTGCTATCACAAAGGGATATAATTTTAACATCTTCTCAGTATTAATTACATGCAGAACCAAGAGTATAAAGGTTAGTCAGCAGCCTTTGGAGTAGACTCACTAAACACAACTATTGGCAAAACCAGAGGGCTGGCCAAACCCAAGACAGCAGGCAACGAAGTCAGAGGGAAGGAGTATCATCTAAGGATGGCAGCGCTGGGGGTTTATTTTTGTCTTTGCTGCTTGTCTGAAGCCGATAGTTATCTTTGCTACCCAGGTACCAAGCAGGGTAGGGAAGGGCAGTCTGCGGGAAGCATTTTCAAGGCAGGCTGAAATTGCCTACTAATTTCAAATACCGTATAATTTAGTTTTTTAGACTCAAACTTCTCCTTTAGCCTCCACAAAGTAAAATAAATAATTAAAGTATTTCTGAATGCTGTGCTACCTTTAGAGGTTAAAAAAAAAAAAAAAGAAACCTCCAACTCTGTGTTCTTTGGAGTTTAATGACTTTACTGCAAGAGTTTTATAGCATTATTCAAGCCTTTAAAGTTACCAGTTAAATGTCATTTAATCTTCAGAAGGTCACCATGCCTTTTCGGAAGGCACACATTTAGAACTTGTTCGGCTGGCTACTCCTTGTTCATTCTTGAAAAAGTGTATGTGATTCAGTGTCTCTCTCAGTGTAGAAGAGGCATACTACTTACAGAAAACATTTTGTATTTCCTTTAAAAATTCTAAAAGTTATGTGTGCAAAACTAATTTTTCTAAAGCCTCTGGGAAAATTACGTCTGAAGGTAAGCAATTAAGTTAGAAGTTTTCAACAACATTTTCATAACTACTATTAAACTACTATGGAGCCTGGAATCCCGTACTATGACAATTGTCCTGGGGCAATCAATCATCTGTGGACATCAGTCCCAGAGGCTACAGGCAAATCAGCTCTGCAAGGGCACCGCATGCCAGCAGATGTGGCCATTATTTACTGCTGAAAACCACGCTGTTTCAGATTTTATCTCAGTCACACCACAGATGTGTGTGTGTGCATGTGTGAAATGTGCACAGTTCTTAATGGGTCTTTGGAATTTTATATATCTATTGCCAGAATATGATGTTCTGCATCTACTAAAATCTTTTTTAAAATACTGGTTCATCACATAAATACACATGCACCTCGTTTCTGGTAGTCTCCTGTTTGTATAGAAGCTCTGAGTAGAAAGTTCTGACTAAATCCTTCATATTATTTTTTTCCTATTAGTTCTATGTGTTTTCCCTAAGGATAAAGGTCATATGTATTCCCTAAGGTCCCTAAAGGTCCCTATGTATTCCCTAAGGATAAAGGTCGTATCTACCTATCATTTCATACTAAGTATTTAACTTTCTTCAACAAAGGCTGAGAGAATGTCTGGGCAGTGAATAAGAAACAAGCAGAATAATAAATGAACCTATTATGATATTCCTTGACTAGGAATGTATGTATTATAGTTTATTGCTTAGAATAAGTATATTGCTGTAACTACACCAGTGAGGAATGCCATTATGTTAAAATACTGACTTAATTTGCTTCCAACAACTCTTCTTTTAAAGTTGTATAACATGGTGGGAAGAATTTTTCATTGTAGCTACAGCTCTGATTTCATCAACTGTGTCTTTAGACAAGAAACTTTTAATAGGCTTTAAAATGCAGAACTTAGTTTTTAACAATTCACCGGAACACACATCTTTGGAAAACATCCACCTGCCATGTCCTTCGACAATGTTTGCCCATGTGAATCTCACCAGTTACCTCTTCTGTTCATACACACTGGCCTATATTTATAACCCTAGTCAACATTTAGATATGAGTAGGTATCCTAGGTATGGATTAGAACTGTGAAGATGCTTGGTTGACTCACACTCTTCAGAATCAACAAGGCATTTTTAGAAGATGGATTCAGCCCCTGACATTCATGAGTAATCAGAATCAACTGCTCCCATAGGCATTTTATCTTTCTGAGTGTAGAAGATATCTTCAATGACCATTCAGTTTCCTGAGTGCCCTATTCCACTAAGGGAAAGGGGTGGAATGAGCTGTGACAGACATAATTTTTATTTTTATGTTATGAAAGCTGTTGCTCAACTGTGATGATAAAAATTCAATGATTCTTATAATTCTTTAATAGTATATTGCTATATTTTAATGTTTCAGTCCGAAGTTTTTTAGAAGTTAGCTCCAAACTAAGGGAACAAATTCAAGCAGAAAAGTAAATATGCTTAAAAGCTAACTTTGCCAAGCCCCAGATTCTGGCTTCTAAAGTCACTGCTGAGGAAAAAAAAAAGTCCTATAATTAGTAACAAGAAACAGCATAACCATGTGGTACTTAGCATAATTCTCATTGGGGAAACAAGACATAATTCGAACACAACACGTTCGCTTTTAAAAGAATATTTTAGCAATGCTTCAGTTATGCTTTAAATATGCCTACATATGACACTGTCATGATAGTTAAGGTACATTTCAAACATGTTTGATGCAGAAAGACAAAATTTTTCACTAAGTAGAAGTATCCTTTGTGGGAAATCTAAATTTAAACCTTGCAATTTAAAGCCTTGCACACTTCCACATAGGAAAAGTCTACAAGCAGACTTCAAGGTTTTTAAAGCAATCTGCATAGCAATGTCGAACTTATCACGGCTCTTGAGAAAAACAGAGGCACACTGTATAGAAGACCCTCACATTTATGGCTGTGCATATTCCCTGTGGGCTGTGCCAACCCACTCTCTCCCCTGTAATGACTCTTTGTTTTTACTAAGTCCCAAAGGGCTGGGGAGAGCTCTGCAGAGAGAAGGGGGAAGGGCAGACAGAATGCAGCTGCAGGCTCTAAAACAATGCTGAGTCCATATATTTTATTCCCAGTTAGAATAATAAAAAGGGTTGGGGGTTGAGGAGTCAGACCCAGAATGAGAAAGGTGGGGTCAAGCATCTGATAGCTCTCAGTCTGCAGCATGTTACTCCTCAGCTACTGCACTGAACCCAATCACCATTCATTTGGGCTAAGTGCTTATCTGCTAAAATTCAAACCCCATTAAGCTTTAACATGATCAGTCACTTACAATGTCTTATCTTTAACAGCAGACTATATTCAGGCAAGGGATAGTGAGAAGAGTAGCGTGCATGAACATAAATAGGGGGCTTAGACACATGGGTACAGGGAAGCTGAAGAGAGATACAGGTAGACAATTCAGAAAACAGGTGGAGGCGGCCCAAGGTCTCAAATACAAACTGCATGCTTTATAATGGCGCCAGGGAAAACCACGCTCTTCCTGAGACTGCTAAAATCTGCAAGTGTTCGAATCAAGAGTTTGGATGCCTGCATGTACTGGTTCTTAGCCAGTCCTTCACACTAACTAGGTGCCACCTAAGAAAAACGTCCTTTACTATTTATTTCCCTTGCTTGGATGTCCCAAACTAGGCAAAAGAGAGAATTAAGGTAAGCAGCAGCCACAGAACAAGGTGATCGCTCTACAACTCCCAGTGAAATACAGGCTCCATCTTTTCCTTCCTCCCCAGGTCTTGGGCTGCCCTCCCACAAAGCCCTTTAGTGAAATCTGTGGAGCCTTACAGGCTAAGGACCCAGGCTTGCCTCTTGGACATTTTTTCAGATATTACCCACACCATTAAAAAACATGCAGGGCATCTCCAGAAGCCTTAAATAAACAACTGAATTAACTCCTCAAATACAGATTCAGCGTGCACTAAAGACTACCTAAGAAGCTATACAACAAAATTCAGAACACTTGTCTAATTAGGATCCCATTCATGAACGCTCGATTACTGAGAGGGGAAGAAAAGGACTTTATTGTAAAGCTGTCATGTAGAAGCAGAGCCCTGACAGCCACACAAACATCTCCTTCAAGTTGGCATTACACAACAGATTTAGAAGTACTGTACTCTTAGTCCGTGTTGAATGATGTAATTAATTTGACTCTTGAAACGTGTTCAAGTTGCAAAGTTTAGAAAGACTACCCTCACTTATATGGATGTTTTAAAATTTTGTGACTTCAAAATTCACAAATATGTAGTTTCACCATAATCAGGAACATGTTCCCCCGCCTTTTCTCTATAGTTCTAAAACCCATTTACAAGTGTACCAAATCTCTACATTAGTTAATATATAGGTATATAGTTAGTATATTAATTTAAGGAAGCAAAAAAATCTAATATTATTAGTAATAATTCAACAATACTGATATTTCTCCTATACAGTTTGCCCTCTATTGTAAATACAAAATCCACAGGTTTTATTAAAAGTTATCACATGCTATTTTGGTATGTGTGCTGGGGATTGAACTCAGGGTCTCTCACATGCTAAGCACATGCTCTACTACTAAGCTATACCCACAGTATGTCCTGTTCTTTAATACAGCAATAAAATAGACACAGAAAACTTTACTTGGTATCCCAGAAAAGCTAAAATGCTATTCTCGCTCTCATTTCCCAGTTTGTACAATTAAAAATGAAGTGAACAGACAGTAAGCAACAACTGCATAACCACAACTTGCTTGAACTTAGTAATTCTTTGTATATTTGGAGCAAATAAAACATTCACATAATGCGCTGATGTTTGAACCTTCTATTAAAAATTTCATATATGCAATTATCCATGATTTAGAGGGAAACACACTTAAAACATAACTATATCTGAATTATTTTTTTAATTGAGATAATTCAAGAATTTTGACCAAAGAGGTCATAAGTTTTCATTTAGTCACAAAGTTCACATACATATGAGTGACTGATTGTATTAAGAAGTCAAAGTAAAATCAAATTTTAGAAGTTTTGTGGTGTACGGGAAGAAAGTTAGACAGTACTCACCCCCTGGAGCCCTTGGAACTGAATGGAAGGTCGGAAAGGAATTAAATTCTGTTGAAAGAAACATAAGAAACAAACAGGTAAATCTCAGTTACTGTGACACAGGGCAAATATAGAAACTTTAAATCTATATACTTTGTCAGTGCCATAATATATGAAAATCTCTTCTCAACAGATTCTTTTGGTTTGTTATATTAATATGCCTCGATGAACGTTAACGTTTCTCTGAACCATATAACCAAAAGGTATATTTTGGCAGTACTGTTAATCATGTTTTTAATACTGGCTGACACAATTTGCAAAAAAAAATCCCAGTTAGTATACAAATTTATTTTTACATAAAAAATCTTAATTTTCTGACATTTTTAATAGAGGTGGGGAGATTAAAGAGATGATGAGAGGAACTCTGAAAACTTCCAGCAGGAGGCTGGAAGAAACATAAAATTAAAATATTCAGGACTCATGTGTACTTTTCCATTTTCTCACATTTTACTGGAGATTAGTTTTGACTTGAGGGTCAAACAGGTTGTCAGGTTTCTCACAAGATTTTCTCCAGGAGAACATCATTTCTAGAGCAAAGTTGTGCTTTATTATGAGCTCTGTCTTCTTTATAATTCCAATATTTCATCACAGAATTGTGAATTTGGAAGAAAAGCTGTGATTATAAATATTAGCCAGTCTCCAGCCTCATTTCCTGTATTCAAGGTTACCGGTGTGTTTGTCTATGGAGAGGCTTTTTTTCTAAACTGCTAGCAGAAATTCTGGGAAATTAGGTTTGAGTAGTGTTTAACCATAACACACCAGCCTGTAAACCATTTTTCATATCTTCATATCCAAATCCAATGAGCAGTGAACTATGGCCTCACCTCTATACCAAATAAAAGTAGAGAAGCAACTACCCACTCCTTTTCTTCACCATAGTGCATCACCTGCTATTTCTAGCTACTATGAAAAAATTCTTAGCAGATTTAAAAATTTATTCATCAGGATAATAACAAGCTAAAGAGAAAAAATGGGGAAAAACAATTACTTTTTAAAAAGACTGCCTGAATATGCAATCAAGGTCTAATGTTAATATTAATAACATAATTATGGATACATAAGATGCACACATCTTGAGGAAAATTACAACAGACACCGTTTTTTATTTTATGAAAAAATAAAAGGACAGCCCAACGAAACAATAAGAACATAACAAGTTACTACACTGCATATCATTATCTTCAAAATAGTTACTCACAGTACAAGACATAGATCAAAAGGATTCTCATAAGGAAACAAACATAGTCACAAAATTTTCTTTTCAAGGGACTATAATAACCTAGCAGCATAAATAAAACAGATTAACATACTTATTAAAATATTTCTGAAACATCAGAATACGTAATTTAGGGAAGTATTTGAACTTCTCCAACTTCTTCTCTTCTTATTTGGCTCTTTACTTGTATATACATAAACAGTATGCTGGGTTTCTCATACAGGAGAAACCATGTGATATTTAAACTTGTGCGCCTGACTTATTTGGCTTAATATTATGTTCTCATATGCATCTATTTACCTATGAATGCCTCATGTTTATCTTTCTTTATGGCAGCTTTGGACTCCACTGTATATATTTTTCTTATCCATTCATCTGTTGATGGACATATATACTATTTCCAAGACATAACTATATAAACTGTGCTGGGTATGCATGTATCCTTGTAATATGATGATTTTAACTTTTTGGGAAGATTCCTAGATGGGGAATAGCTGGGTCAAAAGGAATTTCTAGTTTAATTTTTTGAGGAATCTCCACCCTGACTTCCATAATGGTTGTACTAGTTTACATTCCCACCAACAGTGTCGAAGTTTTGGGATTTTTTTGAAACACGATCTTACTATGTAGTTCAGAATGGCCTGGAACTCACTATGTAACCCAGACTGGCCTTGAACTTGTGGGGGTCCTCCTGCCCCAGTCTCTCTTGTGCTGGGATTTACAGGTGTACACCACCATAGTTGGCTACAATGGACATTTATCACCATTCTACTACTATAAAGTGTGAGTTTAGCATTAGACAACAGAATCTAAGTACTAATGGGTGACAAAAATTCATTTCTTGGTGTGAAAAAGTGGGTTTTTAAAAATTAAAATATAAAAATGTTACTGTTTGAATTTTTAGTAGTGAGTAATCTAACTTGCAGGGTTTTATGAAAATATAAAATATTGGTTAATTTGCTTTATGGGAGAAAACACCATCCAAAATGACCTTCCCTGGCTAAACTTAAGTCTTTCTAAGATAATTAAAGCACCCCAGAAGAGACCAAGGAGCCCCGCTCTGTGTGGAAGCACCACGGTCCATCCCGAAACTTGTGTCTCACAACAGCCTACTACTCACTATTGCCTGAAGGATCCTTGAATTAGAAACTCTGAGAGACGGCAAACTGTAACTAGCAAGCACTAAACCAACTCCCCCACCTCCCTCACCTCTCCCACCTCCCCCACCTCCCCACCTCCCCCACCTCCATGGTTCTCCAGGCTCACAACCTTGTAATTAATGTATAGTCTCTTCTCATTCTTCTATTAGTCAATGATACCTCATTAGAATCACAGAACTCCCAATGCAGAAGAGACTTGTGAAATAATATCGTTGATGTCCACCCTTCCACCCCGGTCCTTGTGTTCAATTAGTAACTAAGCTGGGGCCCGATCCCAGGCCTTGATCATCCTACAATGCCTTGCTACTTTTCTTGTACTACCTGTCCTCCACACACATCTGCAATGGGAGATAGGAGAACGTGGGGGCCTAATCCTTCATGCCAGAGCTCACATTTTAGTTGGGGAAAATTTGAGACTGATTAAGTACTGGGATAAGAACTACCCGAAATGCAGTAATAATTCTCAAAACGGAGAACAGGGTATGTGTTAGTAATAGATACTAGAAGTCAAAGGGTTTATGGAAAAAGGCAGATCTTAAATAACAGATTAGAAAAAGATGAACTGCAGGGAGAAAGAGTGCCCTGAAGAGAAAGCATGGAGTCAGGAATGGTCCCGTATAGGTGGAGAGCACGTCTGTGCGGGTAGACTTCTCTCCCACCGGAAGCGTAGCACAAAGGATGGAAACTGGACCTCAGATTCTGCCTAAGTTAAACTTTCCTTGTCCTCCAAGTTTGTTTTTAGTTTCTGTCTGCTGTAGAATAAAGAAGCACATAACGTATGTACCTCTCGCTGTCTACTCAAAGGTTGGCCACCCTGTGGAATAACCCTGCCTTAACCGTCCCTTACCTGCTCACCACTGCTGATCCTTAAGTGCTGCCTTCAATGTGGTAAGCAACGGGAGGCTCTCCCAATTTTTAGAATAAGGAAATGAGCTTCTGAAAGAAGTGTTTGGTGGTGGTGGTGGGGGCAGTTCTTCCAGCAGTGTGTAAAGCAGATGGAGACAGATAGATTGGGGTGGAAGGGGCCTGGGGGCACGGAAGGTAATCCAGAGGATGCCTTAGGAATACTTTGCAAGTGGTGAAAAAGGCCTAAATGTAAGTGCAGTTTCATCAGAAGCCAGCAGAAGATGGTCAGAAGATTCTGTTAAACTTAGCTTCACTGCCTTTACTCCTTGAATTAAGCCCCTACATGTCTTCTGAAAGACAGACATCTTAAGCACAGACTAGACGTGTAGACAATACTACAAGGCTCCTAAGTTTACTCTCTTGAGGTTGACCATTATAAGGCAATATTATTGTAACAAAAACTGTTTTATGACCAGAGATCTGTATATACTTTTTTCTAGGAGCTATTCCTCAAAACATACCAGGACTATACAATATGTTACTAATTAATATTAATTTTACTATGTAATATTACTTCCTGAGTACTCCTTTAGAGTGGAAGATAAGAAAATAAAATAAAGTTACTTATAGGCATAGTTTATATAATTATCTTCTAAGTGTTTACATATTGGTTACCCATGTACGTAAACTAGATGTATAGTTACTTTTACCCTATCAAACATCCTTTTTTTTTTTTTTTTGAGATAGTCTTGCTGTGAGTAAGAGCCAGCCTTCAATTTGTTTTGTAGTTCAGGTTGGTCTCTAAGTTGCAACTCTCCTGCCTTAGCCTCCCACACGCTGGAATCAGAGGTGTGTGCCACCTTACCCAGCTCACTAGCTTTGTGAATACACAAACATGAGAAATAGCATTCTGGTCCTAAAAATGAATGATTTCTCTAAGACACAGAGAGATCTTTCAAAGTTTAGTCTCTAAAATTAGAGATTTACTTGAAATACCTGCAGCTTTTCAGTTTTCCATGGAACTGTGTTAAAATCAGTTAACTGGAATTCTTTAGTATCGACCAGTATTTAGTAAGTACTTGCTACTTACTTGTGTACTTAAGCCACATTATGTGTAATAATAAATATATTGCAAAAAAATTCCAAGTCAAATATAATTTTGGCACTTTTCCCAAAACAAACAAACCATTTTCTATAAATGGCAATGGTTTGGGTGACTGCTTTGAGTGAGATTGTTTTAAGGAACAATTGTAGCTAACCAGTTACTATTTATTGACCGCTTAAAATGTGTCAGCCATTATAATCATTTTTACCTACCGCTTCCAGGAATTCTCACAAATGTTCTTAAGGGGTATACACTACTGTATTATTCTTATTTCTTAGGTACCTCAAGAATCACCCGAGGCTACACCACTAGTGAGTGACCTGGAACTTGAAGCCAGTACCCCTTTGAGAACTGGTCTGAAGAACCATTTAGGAACTGTGCTCTTGTCCACCACTATCTTGCTTAAAAAAAAACCACTTTTACCCATCATTTTAGATAGCTAGCTTTTTCCTGTTCTTCTCCAATACATATTTAAAATATGAAAAAATCTTAAAGCTAGAGAATTAAAAATTTAATGCTTTTCTTTGTTTGTTTTTTTAAGACAGGGTCTTGCCATGCAGTTCAGGCTGGCCTTGAGCTCACTTTGTAGCCCAGGCTGGTCTCAAACTCTCAGGGATCCTTCTGCCTCAGGCACCTGAGTGCTGGGATTACAGGTGTGCATCACCACGCCTGGCCTTGAGAA